ATAACCTTTTTTCATCCCGGCCACTAGAGGGGAGAGTGGAGTGTCAAAAAACTTAGCTATCTTGCATGGGTTCTCAGTGGCTGAGAATTGCTGTTAGTCCTTGCCCTAACATTGGCAGTACATGAAACTTCTTTGTATTTTTCGCTTGTGAGAGATCATCTTCAAATAAAACTCATCAAGCATCCATAAACATTTTTCTTCACTCTCTGAAAAGAAATATATTCTGCTAAGTGAAATAAAGTAGACACAAGAGACCACATGTTGTCTGATTCCATTTATATGAAATATCCAGAAAAGACAAAGTTCTAAACAGAAAGTAGATTGGTATTTGCCTGGCGTAGGGGGGGCTCAGGGGAAAAGGGATTGACAGTAAATGTGTGTGAGGGATCTTCCTGAGTGATGAGGCTGTTCTACAATGCATATATGGTGACAACTGCACATATAAAATAGTAAAGTAACTATTAAAAATAATTGAATTGTACACTTGAGATTAGTGGATTATGTGATTTATAAAACAGACCTCAACAAAGACATGTTGGGGAAAAAAAGAAGTGTAACATTTTATAAAACAACCCCCCAAAAAACCTATGCATTCAAAAAGATTGAAAACATAAGTTTATGTATGCATAGAAATGTCTAGGAGGATAGCCACTATTTAGTGATTAACTCTAGGAAATGCTATTGTGGGGGAAAACTGGGAAGTTTTTGATATTCTATGTCTTTCTGTATTTTGGGGGGCAATAATTGATTAAAATTAATTTAAAACATTTTTGAGAGATAGGAAGTCAAAATGCATAAAATGCAATGGAATTATAAGTTTCATTTCCTTTGGATAGTGGAACATGGCTTATATTCTTGTCTTTCTATGTTTAATTTCTAATTATAAATTATTATATATTACTTCCATAATAAAAATTGGAAGAAGCTTAATTTAAAATAAAAACCAGGAAATATTCAAATTACTTTTTAAAAATCACCTTTAGTAAAATGTTTATGGTATTTCATATATAACAGGAGTTTTTTTTACTGTTTTATTTTTCTAATTAATATTTAAAAATTGAAGCATAGTCAGTTTACAGTGTTTTGTTAATTTCTGGTGTGCAGCATAGTGGTTAAGTTTTTATATATATATATACATATACATATTTCTTTTTCTATTCTTTTTCATTATAGGCCATAAACAAGATATTGAATATAGTTCCCTGTGTTATGCAGTATGACCTTGTTCTCTTTTATATATAGTAGTTTGTATGTACAATTCCCAAACTCCCCAGTTTATCCCTCTTCCCCCTGGTAACCATAAGTTTGTTTTCTATATCTGTGAGTCTGTCTCTGTTTTGTAAATAAGTTCATTTGTGTCCATTTTTTTTAGATTCCACTTATGAGTGATAGCATATGGTATTTTTCTTTCTCTTTCTGGGTAGCTTCACTTAGAAAGATGATCTCCAGGTCCATCCATGTTGCTGAAAATGGCATTATTTTATTTTTTTGACTGAGTAGTATTCCAT